CATTTCGCAGACCTTTCATTCTTTCCGACTATTTTCGAACTGAAAATGCTCATTTTATTGAGATGATGGTATTCAGAAATGAGTTTTTTTTACATATGATTTGAGTTAGATAGTAAATATGTGTTTTTTAGAGTGCTTAAATCGGTGTGAAAGTGAGAAACGATCACATCTGAGACATCTTTTCTTTTGGCTTACTCCAAATCTATTAGCACAAACCAAGAGGATCTTTTATTTTGACTATCGTACAGAATATCACGACGCATAATTTGAAAAAATTTAAGATTTTATCATTTACATTTGTGGAGATATATGGAGAATAAATTATGTTGCAAACACGCCGAGACATCTAGTATTTGTGTTACATTCTCTCGCAAATGAAGATTTCTTCATGTTTTCCATCATTCCTCTCCTATGAATCTTCTGTATAAATCGGTTGAAAGGATCCTCAAACGGCTCAAACTTGCGCTATATTCTGTTGCAATCTGTTCATAAGGATGATAATGCCTGTACTTGGATGAAACATAAATGAATGAAGAAGGATAAAGACGGCATTCTTTGATTAATCTGGCAATTTAATTCAGCTCTTCGATCCCCACAGTAAAATTTGTCGTAATCCATTCAAGTTTTTAGGTATTGAAAGATGTAATAACAAGTCGAAATTTTCTCAGGAACAATGTATGTTCTTTTGAATTCTCAGAGTTCTAATGCTTTTACACAACAATTCCACATAAATTGAATAAGGTTTATATCATGCATGTCGTGCAATTCCTAGACTTCTAAAATAGCGTTCGTAACATTAGAATCAAAAAGAAGACATTCGAATGCTATTTCTATGTTTGAGAATACTGGATAGGTTTCCGGAGCTTTTTTCGGAAACGCAAGGGTTTTCTTAAAATTCGAAAATCCTGAAGGGTTTCCAATAGATGTTCGAAAACCATGCTCAATTTTTCGGAAACGCTTCCACCGTTTTCGATGCTCGGAAACCCAAAAAGGTTTTCGATAAAAAAAATATCGGAAACGCAAAGGTTTTCGAGAAGGTTTTTAAATCATAGGAGGTTTTCGGGGATAACTTTCGGTTTTCAAAAAGAGTACCAGGGTTTCTGAGAATACGGTTGAGGGTTTTCGGACCTATATTTCGAAAACTCATAGGTTTCCGGATACTCGGAAACTCTGAAGGTATTTTCAGAAACTTAACATGAGTCCGAAAACCTTCCCAGATACGTTCAAGGGTTTCGGAAACAGTTTCTGAAGGGGTTTCGGTTTCTGAGAAAACGTTTTTTGTTTTTGTTTTTTTTATTAGGCTTTGTTGAAGGAAGAATTAATGCCCGTAGGCCTTTTAAGACATCGTCCATAAGTTAACAATGTTACTAGTAGAAAATATGTAGGGAAAACAAGGAGAACGAGAGAAGAACCATGGGAAACATAAAAAAGAGGATAAAGTAAAGGTAAAAAGACGAAGGAAGGAAAAACACAAGGCCAATAGAAAGAAATGGGGCAACAAAAGAACAATACAGAGGAACATAAGTATGTAAACAAAAAAAGACAGAAGGAAGAACAGAAAAAGAAAAACAAATATAACATACGCATAAAAGAACGAGAAGGACACGAATGAAGAACACTTGCTATCTAAAGGAATGCCTGAGGAAATTCAGAGAATATCACGAGGTCATCTTTAGGTATAAAAGGAATAGAATCGGTAGCGTTATTTTCTAACCACCTTAGACAATACTCAATGCTCGGAACAAATGGTACCAACCGTTTGGACCGATACACACATCTCACTACATATTCCTTGTCTAGTCACTGGTTTCTGAACGAATTTAACACTTGATGCTCAAACAACATGGATCCATCTATTGAACTGTTCAGAGGGATACGATATTTCCTCCAGTATCTTGCGCATAGATTTTCTAGGGATTTCTCATCATATAGGGACGCAAAGAGGAAGTCGCTCCAGTTATGAACTCCTAGAATTCGCTTTAAACAAGTGTAATAAAAGTGGTTAAAATCGTCCTTTTGACAATCAGTGAATAGAGAGAATATACTAAACAGCCACGTGAATAGGGGCAGGACATAGGCGGAGAACAGGATCCTACGAAATTCATGAGAAGAAGAACCATACATATGACATGACTTCACTATGGCTACTCTTTGTCTAATCTTGCTTTTGTACAAGGAAATCATCTTATTCCAACCAAGTTTGCACGATATGTGGTAACCGAGATATCTAAAACTCTTGACCCAAGCGATTTTATGATCACTTATTGTGATATTAAAACTAGCGTTACCAACAGCGCGTTCTGACCATAGTAGATCAGTTTTTTCATAGTTTATCGTTTGTACAGATAGAGTAGCATAATACTCAAGGTACTCAAACAATTTCTTGAGTTTAGCCTCTAGATCGAGACATTGCTGTGAGTACTTGGTTTCCATCATACCTCCCACCACACATGCTAAATTGTCAGCAAAAAAGTTAGGAAGAGTACTTTCTAGGAAGGTCCACATATCGCTGTGGTAAGTAATAAAAATGGCGGGGGTCAAGCATGAACCTTTGGGTCCTCTTTGGAGATCGGGAAGAATCTTGAACGTTTCTCCTTTATTTCAATAAAGCCTCATCTGTCCTTTAACCCTTTGGGGACGGGAAGCCTATATATAGGCAACAGCTCTGGACCGGATGATAACTGACTTACGCATATGTCTCTTATGATACTGTTACAATCTATATGCTGCACAAGCCATAGATCTGCCATGTCTTATGTAGTATGACACTGTCATGTGTATTACGCCCTCATTGATCTTGTTTCTAATAGATACATCATTTTAGATTTTCGGAAATCCATTTTTTTCAAAGTAATCCCGTCCTCAAAGGGTTAATCAGCAATCAATCCACATTACGTAAGCTTTTGATATATCTAGACGAGTGAGTTTATCTAGGCATTCAGCCCACCAGAACTGGTCAAAAGTCTGTTTGAAGTCCACAAAGATGGTGGCTACTGGTGTACTTGTACTCATTAATGAAAAGATTTGATCGATCAAATTAAGCATACGAGTCTGTAACCTAAAATTTGATCTGAAACCAGATTGCGAGTCATTCAGAATACCTCTATTTTTAAGTACGTGCTGGAATCGACATAGAAACAACCGTTCTAGCACCTTTAAGAAAATATCTAATAGAGAAATCGGTCTAGTGTCTTTCACGTAACAGATTGATTCCTTTTTGGCTAGCAATTTCATCTTTACGTGTTTCCAATAGGAAGGTGTCGTGTATGTGGTAAGTGATTCATTATATAACTCAAGAAATGCTCTCAGGTATGTATTAGGAATAAATTGGAGCATGTAAGCTGATATGCCATGCGTGTCCGTGGAATGTTTTTTCTTCACCTTAGATATCGTTTTAATGAGTTCCGGCATAGAGATAGGGGGGATAGGATCCTCATAATTATCCCAAAGTATCTCTGGACTATCTACATAAGGATGTGGGCGATATACGTGAGATTCACAGAAGAGCTTCTCGTAGTGAGAAGCAGCTAGTTCGAGTATAACGTCTGTATCTTTAACGGGCTCGTTGTTTCCGTCGATGAAAGCGTCGAGGGAGTTAGTCGTTCTAAAGTTTTTTCTCAGTTTGGACCAAAATAAATTTGAATTTGACGATGAGGTAAATCTTTCCTTTAGTGAATTTGTTAGTTTTCTTGAGCGGAATACAATCAACTCTTTCCTATTTATTCTTCTCATTTCTTGAATTTTTTTGTGTAACAGAACATTTCCAGTTCTTTTATGCTGGAAGGATAAGGCACGTACGTAGGATAGTTTCAGTCTCAGTTCTTTAGGAATCGCAGTGCGGTATTTATTTATCAGAAAAAAGCTTGTACATCGAGTTTTTAGATGATCCAGTAGCGTAATAAAGTTCTTATAGTATTCATCGACAGTGCAGAGCTTGCTTTCATTCTCCCAGAATTCGGAGGTCAGTGTGAGGAAATAGTGAAAGACTTTCCAATGTGTATTACTACCTAATGCATTTTTCTTGCTTTCCCAATTTAGTACTCCCATGATCGGTTTATGATCACTGGTAGTATTATCTACACAAGTTTGAATTGTAAGCGGGATACTACGTGTGAATGCGTAATCAATGACCCGATCGGATCGCAGGGATGTGGGCGAGTTGGGCAGAATTGGAGCAAGTGCTAGTGCCCCAAACCAATCCAATAAACTTTTAGCAGATCTCTCATCAACCTTGCTCTCTAGATCGATGTTAAAATCTCCGAATATACAACATTCATCAGTGATGTGACGTGAGAGGAAGTCCCATTCCCAAGTTTTACTCTTTGGAGCATAGATACCGATTATACGTACTGTTCTTTCGAGATTAACATCAACAACACATACATTAGGAACGTCGGATTTTATGTGAACTACTGGTATACCCAGTCTAAACAACATCAGAACGCCTCCCCAAGAATTTTCACCTTTTTGGTAGAAAAACTTATAATTTACGAAAATTTGTTTTATTTGTGCTCGCTCGATTGCTCCTATTTCAGTTAAGATAATGCAATCTATTTGGTATTTCTCAGCTAATAATAATACTTCTTCCTACCTTTCTTCTAGACCTCGTACATTGAAAAGAAGAACCTGAAATTGATGGGCCAGTGAGTATGTACAAACGTTACTGAAGGTTTTCCAGTAAGAAAAACAAGCAGAGAGAGTAGGTAGAGAAAACCACTCATTAACAATATCAGATAATAAAGTAAAGTCAAAATCAGAAAAGTATTGCGCGGTGCAAGAGAGTGCATATTCAACATCGAAGCTTTTCTTTTTCACTGTGGTTGGGGTAAATACTTCAGCGAGACGGAACAGGTTGAACGAAGTTATTATTGAAGTTATTGATTGGAGAGTGGTTGGTGTGGTTGGTTACTAATGAAACTAACCGAGGGATGTTGAGTGTTCAGGTTAAAATCGTTGATGAGTTTTAATTTTGTATCTTCATTTTGTAAGTACTTATTTGTTCATACCGGGAGATCATTTCCTAGTTTGGCACAAAGAGCTAATAGCGAAGGACAAAGTAAGGTTTTATCGTTCAATACATTTCGTTTAACTAAGACCGAAATCACTTCAATCATTACTTGACAAATTGGAGAAATAAATTGACTGACGAAATCACGTTGGAATGCACCGTCGATTTGTTTTAATTGTATATCACGATTATGATTCATAATTATTTGTTGTGTACGAGTAAGTTGGTCAGCATAGTTGTTATTTAAATCTAACAGACGATTCAAATTGCCTTCTAAATTGCTCAACTTGTGGTATAGTTCATCAATTCGTTTACTTGAAATGTTTGATAAATTATTTATTCTATGATGATTGTTGTTGTAATTCATATTTAATGATGGATAATCTTGATCTTTATAGTGGAATTTTGATTGATTATTTTGTTGATGATTCATTGTACTTGTTTTAGCTAAAAGAGATTTTGTGAGTACAGCCCTGTATGTTTTAACATCAGGGCAACGTACATCGTTGGAATCATGTGAACCTTTACATCTAATACAATATTGTTTTTTATTACATTTTTCTTTATGCTGATTTAGATCTTTACTACTAAATCCGCATGTTTTACAATATTCTAAAGTACTTTTACAGGTACTTCTAAAATGTCCAATCTGGTAGCATTTGATACATATCAACACCTTAGCTGGCGCCAAGTATTCCATCAATTCAAGTCTTAAATTATCAATAGAAAGAAATTTCTTACCAACTAATTCATCAATGCCATTTATATTGTTAATATCAAGTCGAACTAATGTGGTAGGGTGTTGATTTTTATTAAGAATTCGATGTGCATTCATTACATCTAGATAAATAGATTTAGTGTTTGTTAGTAATGTATCAATTTCAATATCAAATGGAACATTTTTAAGAACTAATGAAAATTGAGGTGATAGATGAGTAGGTAGAATTTTTTCAAAATTCAGTGATTCGATGGTCGACGGCCATTTTGAAGTATCATAGAGCATTGAGAACGATTCACGATCATTAACAAATAATAATAAATCACGTTTAAGTTTTAGTCGATGACCAGCGAAATTCAAATCCGAATTATAATTGTAAGAATAATGGGTTGTTAAATACTTTAATACTGAACTTTCATTAATATCTTGTTGGAATTTGATGATGAATGACGGAAAGGCATAACGCGTTTCCGCGTACTGTCGTGCCTGTTGTGATATTTCAATACTAAATGGATTAATAATTGAAACAGGTGCATTCACTTCGAATAAATTTGGTTGTAAATGAACAGCAACAGCACTTGTCGGTTGAACATGACTAATAATACTGTTGGTGTTTGTTGAGGAAGTGGATCCATTTGTTGAACTTGTTGGTGATGAAGAACAGGATGAAGATGAAGATGAAGATTTTTGATTTTGTTGAACATCAATTTTTTTTCTTTTTCTTTTTCCGTTTGACTAAAGTAAAACCATTATCATTTTCACTTTCCATTGGTGTAACATTTTGATTATCTTGGCGTTGTTGATGATTCACTTGAAGCTGATTCATATTACTTGTTGAATTGTGAGGACCATTAGATGTTGCTGCACGTTGATGATATGGACGAAAATTCAATGGAGATTGATGATGGCTATTGGTGGTATAACATGGATGGTTGAGCATTGGACAATGAATGATGGTGTTGTTGATATTCGATGAACTAGACTGATTTGTCATGACACTATCAGTACTAGGAACAGGAAAACAATGTGATAATAACAGTGGTTGGTTGGTACAAGAATTCGAATGTGTAGTTGATGAACTAACTAAACCTTGATTTTGAACAGTTCTATTGTTGGTGATATGTTGTTGAGATGTCGAATGGTCGATAGGACGGGATAAACCTACATTACGCATGCTGTCTAGCATGCGTATAAGGTCGTGAAAGATTTTCAATTAAACCATCAAAAAAATAGATATACTAAGTTAATCGATGAATCACGTGATAAGAAAAAAAAA